GAAGCCATTGGAAGACACTTCAATTATTTAGATTTATATTTTTATTTATTATTTTTTACTCATAATATCTTGTTTTTAATTTAATTGACCGTTTGTTTTTTAACTTTTGACCGCTACCAATCGTAACTTTTTTAATATTAGAACACTGAAGAGAGTCCAGTCTAGGACTGAAACGTTTGCGCTTTTTATCTCATCAGCATCTTATATTTAATTATTATAGTTTATTTTTTATTTTTTATTATGTATTTTCTATTATTTTTTGTAATAATTAATAATTTATCTCTGTTTCTGTACTGACCACGTTGCTCTACGCTGCCAATTTAACAAAGTATACATACAGTTCCGTCATTTTCGTTAAATGGATTTCAAGTCCCTACATCTCCATGGAGCGGAATGAGCGCAAACAGAACGAGCAGAACGTCTCTAAAATGACTTTTAAATATTGTTTTTATCGGTCGTTTTTTATTATCGTGTTTATTATAATTTATTATCATAAATAATTTATTATCATAAATATTGAAATGAAAGCGTTTTTATCGGAAATATTGATTGAAAATATTAAATAAGTTTTAACGTCCTTTTAACTCTTTTGAAATAATGAGTCATGATTGGTTGCGCATTGGTCCGCGGTGCGCTCCTTACGCTCCATGGGTATGTACGGACTTGGAATCCACGTTGCGAAAACTGCGGAACGCTCGTGATTCGTTCCGCTCTCGTTCCGCGTTACGCTATTTCGCTGCATGGATTCGCACAGGGAGAATTCACACCTTGGCAGAAAAGCAGAAAGCTGAAAAGCAGAGGACAATCAAAACTCGCGCTAGAAAATCAGAATGGCCGCGCTCAGCAGAGAAAGCGCTCAGTTATCGTCTTGTCAACACTCGACGTTGATTCGTTGGTTCTAAAAGTAAGAACCGATTACATTTGATTGTTACTAAGCGGTTTTCTCTGCTGAACGCGGCCAATATACTGTTTACTATCAGCGCGAGTTCTGATTGGCTTCTGCTTTTCTGCTTTCTGATTTTCTGCCAAGATGTGAATTCTCTCTAAAGAGTGCGAACCCATGCAGCAGAATAGCGTAACGCGGAACAAGAGTGGAACCAATCGCGAGCGTTCCGCAGTTTTCGCAACGTGTAGAGTCCTATATATATAATCAGAGAAGCGATATCGTTACTCCCTCCATACTTCTCATGATCGCCATGTTGGGCCCGCAGCTGTCTATGTGTAATCTAAAATGTCTTAAAAATGTCTCAGAGATATTTTTTTTTTTTTTTTAGAAAATAACATTACAAATATATTGTTTTCATACTTACGGTACGCCGGTTGCGATTAGTTTGCACATAGGATTCACTACGTGCAAACTAACCGCCAACATAGGGCGCGTTCCACTTAACGACCGCAACGCTCGCGAGCATTATCTGTCTTTGTTTAACTTTCGGTGAACAATAAAGATGAAATGATACCGTGAGCGTTGCGGTCGTTAAGTGGAACGGGCCTGTGGCGGTCAGCTAATCAGCAAGCGGAACGTCATTGTCGCTTCTCTGATTATATAGGACTCTAAATAAGAACGCATTCATTTCAATATTTATGTACATGATAATAAAAAATTATCGATAAAAACTATATTTTAAAAGCCATTTTAGAGACGTTCTGCTTGTTCTGCTTGCGCTCATTCTACTCCATGGGGATGTAGGGACTTGAAATCCACGTAATGAAAATGACGAAACTGTATGTATGTATACATATATTTTGTTAAATTGGCAGCGAAGAGCAACGTGATTAGTACAGAAACAGAGATAAATTATTATGAAATGCATTGCTACAAATATGCAAAACGCTTCAAATTTAATAGTTAAACTTTGAAAATATATAAAGACGATCCAAGAGAGATAAGAAAGAAAGATTTTGTGAATTACGAGTTTTTTCTCGTCCTAACTGTTTTTTGTAATGTTTTTGGAATGTTGCTGTAACATTCTCATGAAATATTACAATTACATGTTCCAATAATATCTCAACAATATTACATTGCAACTTGCAAGATTGTAACATTGCTGCAATGTAATTGCAACGTTCTATGCTGTATGGGGTGTATATGTATAGATGTGTATGTACATTACGCGATCTGCGAAACCTATTCCGCTAGAAACTATTGAAAACGGAACGAAACTGAGGAACGCTCGTGATTGGTTCTACTCCCGTTCCGCGTTATGCTATTCCGCTGCATGGGTTTGCACCTTAAGGGAGAATTTACACCTTGGCAGAAAAGCAGAAAGCAGAAAAGCAGAAGCCAATCAGAACTCGTGCTAGAAGCCAATCAGCCAATCAGAACTCGTGCTGAAAATAAGCAGTACATTCTGCTTTTTTAGCGCGAGTTCTGATTGGCTTCTGCTTTTCTGCTTTCTGCTTTTCTGCTTTCTGCTTTTCTGCCAAGGTGTGAATCCGGCCTAAGGATGCAAACCCATACAGCAGAATAGCATAACGCGGAACGAGAGCGAAACCAATTGTGCGCGTAACGAAAACTGCAGAACGTTTGTGATTGGCTTTGCTCTCGTTCTGCATTAAGCCCGTATCAGACTACGCATTGAAGATTGGAATTTGACCAATTAGGATAAAAGGAACTAAAATTTCCTTGTCCTGATTGGTCAAATTTCAATCTCAATGCATAGTCTGATACGGCCTTTACGCTATTCCGCTGCATGGGTTCGCACCTTAAAAACACGCATCTCACGTATTACCTCCGAATTGACTTGGCTTAACCAATCAATTATTAAAAATAAACCTCGAGTAATATCTTGCGAAAAGGTCTCTTTGTCCCCATTGCTGTAACATTCTCATGAAATATTACAATTACATGTTCCAATAATGTCTTAACAATATTATATTGCAACTTGCAAGATTGTAACATCGCTGCAATGTTCTGTTCTGTATGGGCAGATACTTTAAATCACTTAAAATATTCTCATAGATCTCAAAAAGATATTCAAGAAGATTCTCAAAGAAAAATCCCAACAGAAACTTTTATAATCGATTCAATCTTTTATAATCAATTATAACGCTCCTTGCATAAGTGATCCAACGGGTCCTTTTGCTTATACGCCGGAATTCATATTACTAAACGAATTGTATTAAAATATAATTGATGGAATTGTGCGATGCGGGTGGTAGTAACTGTACATTATTCAGTTCCTTGGATTAACCGGTTTCACTGCGTTTATTATAAAAGTATATAAGTATAAAAGTATAAAATGAACTTGTAAAGATTTAGCTCGCGTGACTCGTGTCGAGGAGACGAACAGGCGCAACGGAAGAAGGCACTTTCGCGAACGTAAGAAAAACATAAAAATGTGGACGGTACTAGAGACGCCACTAGTACCAACTTACTACTACAGTACAACTACGAGCATTCTAGGATCGTTATTTCCAACACCCCTCCTATCGTAGAGTGCGTCTAATATACAGAGCAAATATCTAAAATGAATACTTCAAATTTTACACTATTCTAAACTTAACATAATTACACATCTTTCGTGTTTAATTTTTGGTAATGACTTCGTCAAAATATCCGCCAACATTTGGTCTGTTCTTAAGTAAGTTATTTCAATTTCTTTTCTTTCTACTAATTCTCTCGTGAAATGAAAACTTATATCTATGTGTTTACTCCTCTTATGTAAAACGGCATTCTTTGATAACTCTATTGCACTTTGATTATCACAAAATATGCGTATGAGAGACTCTACATATTTTTCAAAACCCATATAATTTAACAGTCTTTTCAAATATACTATTTCTTTGGAGACTTCAGCCAGCGCTGCGTACTCGGCTTCCATGGTCGATAAGGCCACTGAAGCCTGTTTTTTGGATCGCCAGCTTATAGGCCCACCAGCTAGCATTATTATATTTCCTGTACACGACTTCCTATCATCGATGTCACCAGCCCAGTCAGAATCAGTAAATGCTTGGAGTTTATCCTTATTCTTCACGTAAGTAATTCCGTAATGTGAGGTATTTTTCAAATATCTCAATACTCTTTTTGCGACGAGCCAATGCGATGTACCAGGATCTGAACAAAAACGGCTTAGAGTATTAGTAGCAAATGAGATGTCGGGGCGTGTAGCATTTGCTAAATAGATTAATCCACCAACGAGTTCACGGTATGGTTTCTTCTGCATTTCTAAACGTTCTTTGTCATTTTGGGGACCTAAATCTTTTGAAATTCTTATGTTTGTTTCGAATGGAGTTGATACGTCTTTTGCATCATTCATGTAGAATTTACTTATTAAATCTTTTACATACTTTGCTTGAGATAAACAAATTTTTCCAGTTAAGCCTTCTCTCTTAATATCCATGCCTAGGATGTAGTTAATTGGTCCAAGATCGACCATCTTGAAAGTACATTGTAAACTCTTCTTTATTTTCGTAAATTCGTTGTATCTTCTAGAGGCTAGAATTAAATCGTCAACGTATACTATAAGAATCACTCGAGATTCATTTTCGTTGAACGTGTAGATATATGGATCCGCTTCAGTTCTTCTACCTCCAAGGTTTAAAAGGAAATTGTCGAGTTTACGATACCACTAGCGTCCCGATTGCTTCAAGCCATATAATGGTTTCTTTAACTTGCATACCATATCTTTTCGATTTTCTTCAATAAACATTTCAGGCTGTTCCATGAAAATCTTATCAGTAAGTTCTCCCTGTACGTAAGCGGAAATGACATCCATTTGGTCCACGCACATTTCCTCGTTTACGGACGCGGCCAATAACGCCCTAATCGATTCGTACCGTGCGACAGGTGCAAAGACTTCTTCATAATCTATCCCTTTTTGTTGTGTATGTCCGCGAGCTACTAATCTTGCTTTGTATTTTTTAGTTTCTCCGTTTGGACCTTGTTTTATTTTAAAAACCCATCGGCTGGTAAGTATTTTCTTCGCTTCTAGTCTTGGCACCAATGACCAGGTATTATTTTCTTGCAAAGTTTTAAATTCAGTCTTCATAACTGCTAGTCATTCTAATCGATCGCTTCGATTCATAGCCTCAGCTACATCCATGGGATTATGATTAGCATCATTGCGCTTTTGATACATTTTCTTAGGTCTTCCTCGTTGACCGGTTTTCAATAATTTAGGACGTCCACGACCTCGTTGTAAATCTTTATTTCCATTTTCCTCTCTTTCTTCTGGAACTTCATCGACTTCATCTTCTGAATCGTTATCTTCGAGTTGTTGATCATATTCGTTTGTTATTTCTTCATTAGCTTCCGAGTCTTGAAGATCCGTTAATAATGGCATCGATTTAATTTTCAGCGTTCCTTTTTCATTTATATTGTTATTCGAGTCATTTTTAGTTAGATCATCCCAATCATAATTGCATGAATGAAGCTTCTCGTAAAATTTAATGTCGCGTGATTTTATTACAGTTTTCGTTCGTGGCTTCCATAATCTGTATGCTTTAGCTTCATCTGAATATCTGACTAAGACATATTCATCTCCCTTTCGGAAGAACTTTCCGCGTTTAGGACCTTTATTTAATGCGATGACCTTGCTTCCAAAAATGCGAAAGAAGCCCACATAAGGTTTCTTATTCGTCCACGCTTCAATCGGAGTTTTATCGTTTAAGCATTTTGTAGGGCATCTGTTTCTTATGAATGTCGCCGTATTCACTGCTTCGGCCCATAGGGATTGCGGTAATCCAGATTGTTGCAGCAATCTTGCCATTTCGACAATCGTCCTATTTGCGCGTTCTGCAACACCGTTCTGTTGCGGAGTATATTCCACAGAAAGTTGTCGAGCGATGCCTTCATCCTCCAAAAATTTTTTGAGATCATTGGACAAATATTCTTTCCCATTGTCCGTGCGTAATTTCTTGATACGTTGTCCTGTTTGGTTTTCCACTCTTCTTTTGTAATTTCTGAAAGCCTTCAAAACATCAGATCGTTTGTGGAGCATGACAGTTTCGATATATCTTGAGTAATCATCAATAAATGTAACGAAATACCTCGATCCTTCTAATGATTCAACATTCATCGGACCGCAAATATCAGAGTGTATCAAATTCAGTACCTCGGTCTCTCTGTTTTTTGACGGCTTAAACGGTTGAACATGCAGCTTATTTTGATCACAGATCTCACATTGAAATCCGTCAGTTTTTGTTGTAAATTCAACACCTTTAAGCATCTCTTTTATTTTTAAATTTTTCAAATCTGCAACATTTAAATGTCCATACCTTTGATGCCAACGAGTCAATTTATCGTTGTAGATTTTGTGAACAGCCATCGCGTGGTTTTTCGTTTCGTTTACTACGTAGAGTTGATTCCTCTTCGTTGTTGTTAAAGCTGTGGATCCGTCTCTGCGTTTTATCGTTGCACTATTTTTATCAAATACTACCGTGTATCCATTGTCTGTGATCATAGAAACTGACATTAGATTATTTCTTAACGCGGGAATTAACATTGCGTCTTTTAGATTTACGGTGTTTTTTGAACCACGATTTTTCACTTCTAAATTAATTTCGCCCGTGCTTGACGAATCTAAACAATGTTCCGCTGCTGTAAATACTCTAAATTTTTCTGTATCGTTTAATACCGTAAATTTTCGATAATCATTACACATATGACGCGTCGCGCCGCTATCAAGGAACCAATCGCTAGATTTCGATACTTCAGTATTGCACACTATAGCGGTCATAGCATCATATCTGTTATTCGTTTCACCGTGTTTTGTTTTTATTCGACAGTCCGCACTTTTATGTCCGATTTTACCGCAATTGAAACACTTTCCGTTAAATTTCTTTTGATTTTGTTTCGTATATTTATCTGCCGAATTTAAATTTTTGTTTATCACGAACATGTGCACGAGAAAATAATGCGTCATTATTCTGTCTGGACGGTACTAGAGACGCCACTAGTACCAACTTACTACTACAGTACAACTACGAGCACTCTAAAATCGTTATTTCCAACAATAATTTATTTTAAAGAAAGTTGTCGCGACAAAAATCAAACAACTTCCTCTGATTTGATTACACGATTAAAAGACTAATTGCCTGAAGAACATTTAAATATAGATGAATATGCTAGATATTTAGATTTATAATTAACTGGCCTAAAATCATAACGAGATGTTCAATTAATTTTTCGGATAATGAAATCTTATTTATACAGGGTGTCCTAGACCACTCATACACCCCTTTTCTTTCAAAAACTAAGCATTTTAGAGAAAAACGTTTTGAACAAAAATTGTATGGTTTTGAGGGGAACATAAGATGGTGTCATTGGTTTGACCTTGGATGGCATCGTTAAGGTCAAGTCAAAGACAGCTTTAATTTTTTAAATAAAATCCCCTATTTTTTTTTGCGTATTGTGTCCTTGACTTGACCTTAACGACGCCATCCAAGGTCAAACCAATGGCACCATCTTATGTGCCCCTCAAAACCATACAATTTTTGTTGAAAACGTTTTTCTCTAAAATGCTTAGTTTTTGAAAGAAAAGGAGTGTACGGGTGGTCTAGGACACCCTGTATATTGACGAAGAAGTTCAAGCTATAGTAAGTCGCGAATGCGAGCAAATCTTAACGTTAATCATTAGACTTATTACTGATTTTCTAGACGGTAATTTGGATATAGATCAATTAATTGCCTTTTTTGAAAACATTGAAGACTCTGAAATTGCATATACTTATTTGCGCACGCGTATATACAGACTTTTATATATTACTAGACCGCTAACTCCTACGAAATACATGGCCCCGAAAAGTATGTACACAACACATACGCACACAGTATACACACACAAAAACACTTTTTGTCTGTATACATCGGCCATATTACATATCCAGCTCTTATCTTCTTCTTTTCTACTAATTCCTACTTAAGTCACGCATGCGCAGATGTTTACTTCTCATTCTTAGTTTAGATGATGTCACGTGACATGCCATGGACCAATCAGGTAATACTGGAAAGAGATGTCAAAATCATATTTTGTTGCAATATTCCTAAAAGCGGACATTTTATCATTGCTGCAATTCCACAGCAATGATGCAGCAACATTTTGCAGTGAATTTGCAAAGTTGCAATATTGCGGTGAAAGATTGTTACAATATGTATGCAATCTTTGTGTGCTGTATGGGTATACTTCAGTTAGTGAGAAAAGGATAGCTCTCTATTTTTTATAGGGCAACCTGCTTCCACCGGCTATATCCCAGGGACGCCGAGAGCTAGGACCGAATTAGTGGATTCTCGCCGGCTCTATGATTCTTTCTTTACCGGTGAGCAAGTTTGTATTTAGAGTAAACCATTTACAAGAGCTTTCTAATGATTTAAGAAAAATCTTAGATTAATAAACTTAATATGTAATGTTATATGTAATATTATGGGAGTTAGTATTATAATAGAGGGAAAAAGGGTAAGAAAAATTGTCAATGGGATTGAATACGTTAAAGGAGGGAATGTGTTGTTATCTGTGGATAATGGTCTTTGATTAATATCAATTCTAGATCCTGCTATTTCATATAACCCTAAATTCTTAATCAAAAGGGAAGACATATGGTAAAGGAAGGCGTCTGTCAAGGGCATATATGCTCAACAGACGTCTGTTGATGGGTAATGATGGGAGGGTGTAGTCGAGGGCACACCATATGCTCAACCACGATGGAATTCAAGGAGAAAGGTAGAGTGTCACCAGGGCAATAAACCCTCGGCAACCAGGTTTCAAGCCCATACAGCACAGAACATTGCAGCAACTTTGCAGCAATATTGCAACATTGTAGCAACATTGCGGCAATGTTGCAATGTTGCTGCAATGTTTTGTGCTGTATGGGAGGGTTGGACCACGTCCGAGTGAGATTGGAAACCATAATATTTTATGCTTTATTTTAATTTCCTGTTGTCGTTTTTATTGGAAAAATGTTGGGTAAGGAAGGCGTCCGTCGAGGGCATACCATATGCTCAACAGACAATGGATGAATAATACAGGGTGATGATGGGAAAGTGTAGTCGAGGGCATACTATATGCTCAATCACGATGGAGTTCAAGGAAAAGCGGTAGAGTATCACCGGAACAATAATCCTCGGCGACCGGGTTTTAAAGGGTTGGACCATGTCCGAGTGACAACCTTAGAACATATACAGGGTATCCCGCAACGTGATGTCCACACTGAAACTGTGTATTCTTTGTGTCATTCTAGGTCAAAAAGTCTTAATACACATATGCCCTAAAGCTGCTTGTTTCGAAGTTATAGCGAAAAAATGCAAAAGTAGTTATTTCTCACACTAATGCGAGAAAAGCACCTTTATGACTTATCTTACCGCACTAGTAGTGCGGAAATAACAGGCATTACAAAAAATATTGTATGTATGGCATGTGCGGAAGACAACGAACTACGTCGCGCATGAAGTTGCCGCATGAGCTGAAGCGAATGCAGCAATACTCGACATAACTCATTGTTTTCCACACTTGCCACACAAGATAATATTAATAAATTGACTGTCGTTTTAAGTGAAAACATCGCATAAACATAGCTTAGAAATTTCTCTCACCTACCAATCATGAGTACATTTTTAACTTCTTGAAGATCTGCCTTTAAACATCAGAACACAAATGTGGTTTCAACAAGATGGAGCACCACCTCACTTACGCAGAATTGTTACGAGATATCTAAATAAAAAATTTCCTGGGAGGTTCAATAAATTGGCCTGCAAGATTTCCCGATCTATCTCCTCTGGATTATTTTTTGTGGGGGAAATGGAAGGGGAATAGCAGGCTGAAAAGTGTCAGAGGAAGTGAGAAAGAAAATCATAGTTGCCTCTCTCTTGTGAGTAACTGCTCAAAAGTGCGCATGCACGACTTACCGGTTTGGCCCAATGAAAAATAAGCTTACATTAGTCACATGTGTGTGTACACAAAAGTATGTATATCTACAGACACGATGCTTGTATGTGTAGTTACTCACAAGAGAGAGGCAACTACGATTTTCTTTCTCACTTCTTTCCGACACTTTTCAGCCTGCTATTCTCCTTCCATTTATATATGTTCTAAGGTAACAACAGCAGTATAGGTTCTAAGCAAAATCTAAATTTGTCTAGTATTGATACTAGAAATGTTCAAGTGATTGCTGGAAGGTAAATCGTGGATTATTAAAGTTGACTGACTAGGAAACTGTCAGCAATATGCTAATAATGCTTGACAAGGGTTTCTTTTATTATTAAAAAGGGATGTAGGGATTAATGTAATAAAAGGGCTGTCAGTCATTTGTTGATTCTGAAATAAAATTTGAGAATATAAGGGGTGTTAGTAACTGCAGGTATTTACTGTGTCGTAACAAGTAATACTTTTTTAGCTCAGTGTCCTTAGTACTTGTTTTAAGCCTTTCCTTCTCATCTGCAAAAACCTCGATTATGGATGAAATAGGTTGGATTGATGTAGACAGGTGTATGCTCGAAGTCTTTATTCCGGACTTTTACACAACTTGAGCTTATAAACGCGGAACTGATTGGACTAACTGGCTGACTGACTGACTCTATAATGAAGACGAAAGATACGCGGATATGCGTTGAAATGATTGGAGAGACTGACTACTGACTATATAATAAAAATAAAAGATACGCGGTTGTGTATCGGAATGATTGGAAGGACTGACTATGAAAATAAAAGATACGCGGTTGTGTATCGAAATGATCGGAGGGGCTGACTGCTGAGGGTGAAAATCTGTATCTTATATACTATTGAGAAGAAAGAGCGTTACGGGCCGTGTGCAGATTGTTCTGAGAATTTAGTTTGCGTTCTAGAAATTCATTAAGGTGAAGGTCTTCTACGAAAATCTATGATGAAATTATTTCTAAGTATTGCCTATCGATTAGCGGTAAATCCTTACAGATTGTTTATGTTTTTGGCGTCTACGTCGCGAATCTATCGGAACCGCCGTGGATCTGCGCACATGCTTATCGCTCGCTGTCTCGAATAGTTTTACAATGTTAACCCAGGGCGAAACGCGAGATCGGATATACGTCTATTAGATGTCGAAGCCATCTAGTCTAAAACAACATCTAGAAATATATGAATGCATTGCATTATAGGTAATTGGGACTCATGACTTAAGGCCCTTGCACAATGCTAGGCGATAGCGATAACGATAGGCGATAGCGATAGCGACAGAAATAAAAACAGAAAATTCCAACATTAGGGAATGCGTATGCAAATGCAGAATGTTTATCTTTGCAAAGAATGTTATTCTCTACAGAGAATAAATTTCTACATTTGCATATGCATTCCCTAGTGTTGGAATTTTCTATTTCTATTTCTATCGCCTATCGCTATCAGCATTGCGCAAGGGCCTTTATCTTTCTTATATATAACCTTCCCAGGAAGAAACGCGAGATCGGATATACGTCTATTAGATGTCGAAGCCATCTAGTCTAAAACAACATCTAGAAATATATGAATTAGATGCCATGTAATTTTGTGTCATTGAATTTTTTAGACACTATTAAAACTTAATATTCACACAATAGCAGTGCATTGTTTATGAAACACTCTTTGGGCTGCAGGTCACTTCTCGACATCTAATAGACATCTAATAAACCTCTAAGTAAATGTTAACGCAATATGTATGTAATATCATAATAAAAACAGAAAAATTCTCTTGTTGGAAAATAATCTCATAAAACGTATTTGTGGTCATACACTAGTATTCACTTCACATCAAGGTCAAATTTTTGTCAATATATCATATGAGTCTGGAGATTGACGATGTTTATGGTTATATTTGATGAGAGAAAAAGATAGCATATCGTATGTCTGTTCTGTTTTGCCACCTGCTGAGCGTATAGTTATGTATAATAACCAG